CCAATCATCTTTCATACATTTAGTTAAACCATTCAAATCCAAGCTTCTAGTCAAAAGTCTAATATTTTAGAATCTAGATCTTTGTAAAAGACAAAATAGGAGTGATCATCCCAATCTTCTAGAACTTCGCTAATTATTTTGCCAAATATAAACATTATAGCTAAACTTAGGTATGACTATATAAATTTAGTTATAGATAACTACATTAGTCATAACTAGCTAGACTTAGCTATGTCTTGGTTAATCATCATGAATCATTTGGATACTTCTAAAACTTAATACACATGTGCAACATCTGTCACAGAACAACTCATAGATATCTTGCTTATCAACACCAACCTGTCGGGCAATGTTGCGCATGGTCAAGAGCTTTGACACCTCTAGTAAATTAATGATTTCCATGCGATGACGGTCATTCAAACGTTTAACTTCATCCTTAAGCTTAAAAGTTCATTGCGCGTTCATTGTATGAAATGAATTACCCATAACTTCCTTCACAACTTAACTCAAGAATTGCAATGATATTATTGATCGCGAAATTCAATTGACAACATGCTTGTGAAAGCTCAAGCCTAGTTCAAGTCATCTTCAAGAACGCCTTCAATCACTCTTTACGATTGGTGACCAAAAAGCAATCTTAATTGCCTTAAAATCAATATCCAAAATTAGTCGCGCATAGCTACAGAAGACATTTGGTTTGAGTACTCGTAAGACCCACATAAATAAGCACTCATGCGAACTTTCTAACAAGACATGTTGGTGGAAAATCAGAACAGGTCATGTGCACAGCAACATCAAACTAACTCGTAGGTAGAAAAAATGTATATTCATATCGATTGGCCATTACAATCAAAAAATACTCATTAGCCGTCTTGCGCACTAAGTCCTCTATTCACAATGTCGTATTTGCAATCATGCGTGCTTGAACAATTTCATACTAAGCTAATGTAGATATACCGACATTAGCGTCGCTGAAGAGTGAGGGAAAGAAACGTCATACTAAACCTCCTTCACGTCATTCAAACCCCTAATATTACTTAAGTCCGCAACCTAGATAAGTACGCACCAAACTTTGTAGATCAAGTTGCCGAACCAAACGAATGTATACTCTAAGGTTAAATGTCAGCACACGCTTATGTGAAATTTGTCATTAGTTTGAATGATAATTTTAATGTTATTATAATCTTTGTATACATGATCTAAGATATAAGATTCAAATATAATGATGATGTTTAATGATCAAAACTTTATGAGATACAAAATTAATTAAAGTTTTATAATTTTCCCATATTATTTCAATATGGCTATAGAATAAAGTTTAAAAATTGAATGATATTATAAGCTTTAACTTTTATATATTTCAAACTTTGCACAATAAAGTTTCAGCAATTTTAAAGTTAATAAGTAGAAAATTTTGATTATGAAAATTTTTCATGAACTGACAATAAAATAAAATAATTATGTTATCAAATGCTTTCAACTTTGAACTACCTCAATATTTAGCAACGTAATATATATAAATATAATCATATATAAATATATCTATAATATCATCTTATGTTAAGAAAATTTCAATTCTTATATATGTTTAACCAATAAAATAGAATTCAACATTCAAATATAAATTTAAAATTTATTCTACTTTTGATGATTTCAAAACACAATTTACATAAATCCAAAAAAAAATTATGCTTTAATTCAAGCAAATAATTTTATTAAAGATTAATTTTCAATAATTTTCAAAATATTTATCACCTTAAATATAAATATTGCGTTCAAATTCAAACTGATTTCATAATTCTTAGTTAGTAATTTAAAGTTATTTTTCGATTCATTTTTTTAAATCATTTAAAATAAATTTATCATCTAATTATGATATCATTATTAAATATCATAATTTGATGATAAATTTATTTATTTTAGTTTTAATTTTTTCTTGTTTTACTTCTTTTAAAATAATGCAATGTGATATGAAATAATTTATTTCATATTTTTATATAATTATATGTATATGAACAATAAAGATTAATTAATTTTATCATAATTAAAATTTTATAGCTAGAATCATTAATTTTGGAATTAAGAATTTTTAAAATTTAATATTTTTATGTGACAAAAACTAAGTATATTCTAATTTTACTGAATTCAAATGATTTAGTCTTTAGTTGAAACTCTATTCTAAGTTATTTTTAATTTATTTTGATTGAAAATTAACTTTCTTCATTATTTTTATGAAATATTGTATGCCAAATGAAGATCATTAATAACTAGTTGAATTTTGTGTGTAATTGAAAACACAAAATCTAAGATTTCAAGAAAAATTGTTTTGAAATATGATGTGCTAAGGATGAAATCTATAATTAAAGTTTTTGAATAAAGTCATAATTGTTTATTGCAATGTAGAAACAATTAACAAATATACATTTTAGTTCATTATTAATGAACTAAATAAAATATTGTAAATAAAATACAAACTGTTGTATTTTATCTTTCAAGAATATTTCAATAGTAAGTATTTTAAAACAAGATAATTAAAATTTTTATTTTGATTAAACATATAAAATATTTGAATATGGAAAAAAATAAAATTAATGATTTAGATATATATATTATAAAATTAAACATAATTCTAATATTAATTAAGTTTAAATTTTAAGACATTTTTTTACATCAAATCTATATATATTATTAAATATTAAAATTAAATTAATAATTTAATCAAATAACAAATTAAAATTTGGAGATATTTACTTGATGGTAAATATCTCCAAATTTGAAACCTAAAATTACTTAATGAAACACTTCAAGTTTTGTTTTACACTGACAGACCGTTAGTATATGCACAAACTTAGCAAATTTCTAAAATGTGTTCATGTACACATATATGCAAGTTTTAATTGAACTTTGTAATCGCAAATCACAATCATTGTAAATTTGACATATTTCTATCAAATTTCTCAACAAATATATGTCGTTGAATGCAAATTTTGAGCTGTCACTTTTGCTTGCGCCTCTTGCGTTTGTTCGCTGACTGTCACATTTTTTGTTAGATTGGGGAATCTAATCGATCGAGTGAAATCTTGTGTCAAAAATTTACAAATTGCCCGTTGGAAATCATATGGTTTTTTGAACAAAGTCAAATTTGTCAATAAATGACTAAAGATTTCAAAGATGTTTGTGTTAGATCCAAGCCATCAATGGTTGATCTACTCTATTGCGCAATGATGGCCAATTGATTTCACGGCTCAATTTTTTACTAGTATATGATTTTTCCCCAAAGTGACTAAAGAATATCAATTAACCAATGTTTTGCTCAAAATGTTATTCAAGCTCTTTCGTGACAGATTAAGCAAACTTATTCAATAAAACAACACTAGTTCCATTGCCTGCACCATTTGTTGATTACAAGAATATGCGTTGTGTGTATCGTTGATGGTAATCCATTGGTTAAAATGAAACTTAAAGTTTACCAACAAACAATTTAGATTCTGATGTTATACCATTAAGTAAATACCTCGATAATTCTGGTTTATAATGATTTGCATGACCTTTTAAATCTCAATCGCTTAATTTAATTAATGATTATAAATTTCATGATTTATTTAGAGGTTCAAACGATTTGAATTTATTTTGTTTGTATTCTTTTAAATACACATCACTTTGTAAAGTTTTACATAAAATGTTATCATTCAATTTTTAAAATTGTGAATTTTGCATATTGAACTTTGTAAATTATTTAATAATTAAATAATTATTGATGGTGTAGAAATCTATAATAAGCATTTTCATTAGATTTTTGAGATCATTTTATACTTGAACATTAGTAGATTATCAATGTGAAATAATGTATATTTAAGAAGCATATAGTAATGTATATTATCTGATATTTAATATATTTCAAATCAAATTAGGTACGATTACTTTTTTTAGTATTATTAATTTGATGAATTATCTGATGCAATTATTTTATTTTTTTCCTACTATTCGTAGATTTAAAATACAAATTTTGATATATGAAATATTAAATTCAAAGAAAATAACATGTTTTGTTCATTGTGTATGGAATTTTTGTTTTATATGCTAAACTTATGATAAGAATCATCTGGAAAACTCTTGAAAAAAATGTATATTAAATCAATATTGATATTTTAATTTTCTTTTATTAATTAGATATATTAAAGTCAAGCTAGATTTCATAGTAAAAATTTTAAAACTTCATATAACATTGCAACGAGCATTAATTTGAACTCTTTCTGGTGTAATTATTCTTATCTTATTCGAGATACAAGTATTGACTTTTATTTGATTAGTTACTTCAACCCGATTCAAACTAGAGATTCAGAAATCTGAACAAATCAATAATAATGTATGTTCAAATAGATTTCATACAAAGCAAAGCATGAAGAACAAAGAACTTTTCAGAAAATTAGACAGTTGTTTCGAATGACATTGATTTCTTGTGATTCTAACTCAACATATTAGTGTAGTGTTTCTCATTGTACCCTTCACCTAAGAGGTCCAATATAAGTTCTTTTGCGCTAGTTAGAACTATGTCTAATGCAGCAGACATCGAGAAATCACTTCACTAAACCAGTTGTGCCCTTGTGATTCTATTGTAAGAGCATTTGTAGATTTTGGAGATCAGTCATTTAAGTGAGTGATACATTCAATGTGTCCTCAACCCAAAATCTTTACAACTCACAAAGCGGACAGAGCGATAAATCTTGTGCTTCACAACTTCCATGGAATCGGTCCAAGCAATTAACAGGTAAAGCTGGAGGTGCCATCCTCGTCTAAAATCGGACTTTAATTTTCTCGACGGCATTATTTGGAGGCGTACTCTCACGGAATAGACGAGGACACGGCCTTGGACACTTGGCGAGAGAAGCGTCCGATGTCATGAATCCGAGGAACGAGTGCAGGACTGACAGGCTGACCGGCGCTGCCGTCGACGGACGATGGACCGACGGAAGGCACGTCAGTGACAGCCCCGCGACACCACCTTCGAGGAAACGAGCAGCATGTCTCGACCGACGGCACGAGATAATAACGCAAGATTTCGAAAGAATTGATCACGACGGCGCGGGGAATTGGGAATTGCGTCCGACAGTGTTCGTGCGTTGAAGATTCTAGCATCGAGCTGGAGTCTAGCATCGAGCTGCTGACGGATGGATCATGTTTCGATAGAGGAGACCGTGACGCGGCGGCTGGAGTTTGGCTGCCTCGGCGCTCGCGCTCAGAGGGTATCAGCGTTCTCTCTCTGATTCATCGATCTGCATCGCGAGTGAGGGAGCCCGGATCGAATTTCGTAGCAAATTTCTTTGCGGCGAGTTCCATTCTGCAAACCTGGAATCGTTGCTTTTGTTTGGTATCAGAGATCTTTTGTCGTCACGGCGCATCACTAGCTGGAGTCAGTTTTCAGGCGGCTCGGGCTCGGGATGATGGTCATGCCGATGGCTGATCCTGTTTGTTCCGTTGGGAGGCTATCTTCGCTGGGCTTTGTCCCTCGTGTGTCTTCGAACGTGGTCATCAAAAGGCTCTCTGCAACGTCCTGGACGCCCAGGTAGCTTCACTTCTTTTCCGCCGCCTGCATGCGCAGTTGCTTCAAGTGGTTCACGAAATGGCCGATCCAGATATCATAATTGAATTTTGATAGTAAACATACGCTTTACTAAATCTTCCGTTTGAATGCTGTTAAAATGTGCTTCTGCAGGTGTGCACTAGATGTCAAAATCAAGATGGGCGATTCCAAATTCCAGCATGAGTTGAAAGCAGCTGTTGATGTGGTGGAGAGAGCTTGCAGATTGTGTCTTTCGGTTCGTTCCTGTAATTTCGCACGTTTTTTAGCAAGTGTACTGCTTGTCCTTGATAGCAATTGTCGGCGGCAGGAGACAAAGATGTCGATATCAATTTTTTAAAATGTAGGAAAAGTATGCAAGAAGTGGTAACCGTTCGTACATCATCCCAAACCATCAGTACAATTCCTTTTGGTGGGCTCTGATGTGTATCAGTGAGAAGCTTGTAATGCGTGCATCATCTCAAAGAGTATGCGATTACATCCTGTGCATTGATGCTCGAAATTTTACTACACTTGCTTTGTCAGGTAAAAACTTCATTGAACGAGACTGGTGGCATGGTGGAGAAAAATGATGCCACCCCTGTAACAGTGGCTGATTTTGGTGTGCAAGCACTAGTAAGCTTAGGTGACTGCTATACCTTCGCGTCTATCAATTTCATTTTGGTCTCTTTGAATTGCGCTTCCCGCAGAGTGCTGAGTTGCATGGACAAACGTAGATCTGGAATTTTTTATTTACACAGTAGCTGTTGTTTTGGGTCCAGGAATGCGTTACATTCGGTTGACCTCACGTATCGGTTCCTATCAGTCTGAGATATTAGCAATATTTATCCTTGTCTGTTCGCTTCTATGTAGCGAAATTCCTATGTTCGCTTCTACTTGTGATAGCGAGTTTCATCGTGCTTATCAGTTTTCTATCCCATTCAAACTTGTATGTACCTACTGTACTTTGCAGAGCTTGGTTTGTTATTCCCTTCGATACAGTTGGTTGGTGAAGAAGATGCGGGGCATTTACGGAAAGATCTAGTGGAGGGAATGAAAACCCCTGAGACGTCGAAAAGCCCTGCTTTAGTGGATTTAGTGACGGAGGAGGTGGCAAGAGTTGCTTCCGAGAGAGTTTGTTCCTTAACCCCTGAGAAGGTTATGGCTGCGATCGACAGAGGTGGAAAGAAGTTGAATTTTACAAACAGGCTGAAGAGTTCCTACTGGGTGAGTTGCAAAGCATGTGATTAGTCTGAATCGTCTTGATATCTCTTACTTGATAAGAGATATCAATCTCTACAATCACTTTCAGTTTTTTTGGTTCAGATTCAACTTCCAGGTAAGTATTAAGAAGTTACAAATCTACAAATTACAGATAGGTTTTTCAACTAATTCACTTCAAACTCACAAACTCCGTCATGTGTTGTCGTAAATGGATCCAAATGGCGCAGGTTCTTGATCCAATCGACGGAACTCGTGGCTTCCTCAGAGGTGGACATGCCTTGTACGTGGTATTCCCTCAGTGTTGATTTTCTTACGTAGCAAATTATTTTGTCATTTCCAGACAGGAATTCGGCTGTTTCGCATAACTTTGGAGCATTGGTGTTGGAATCTGATATCCAAAGTGCAGTCTAGTTTAGTATCCAACTTTGTCATACACCATCGGCAACTTTTATCCTGTCCATTTGTTCCAAATTCAGCCAGAAGACTTTAACTACCTATCTGCAAGTTAATCCTGTAATATACATATATGCTGGGTACATTCTTCATAGATATAACAATTTCCTTGGCCCTTCACAAGATTTTGAATGGAAGATGAAAGTACCTTGGTTTTCTTTTGGGTTCTGAATCGCATATCTGCACGTGTCGCAGGTGGGACTCGCCTTGGTTGTTGATGGCCAACTTGTGTTAGGAGTAATGGGTTGTCCTAATGTGTCGTACGTTGTGAATGAGGGGGCTGTTCATGGAACACCCAAGTTGCAGATGGTAAGTGCCCAAGATTTCAACAAACGTCCAAATGGCACTCACTCTGCAGATGTCCAAACAGGCCTGTTGATGGCTTCATGCACGGGCTGTGGTTGCTGGGTAAAACCATTATCAAGAAGACCAGTCAAGTCCGAGGAAAAGTTGACCATGGAAGATATATTCAAGGACATGCTAGAGACAAAGGTGGACAACTGTAAGGTGTTGAAAAAAGCCAGATTTTGCATCTCCGATCATGAAGTGTGGAGATCACTTCCTTTAGCTGTAGCTTTGGCTTCAGCTTCTTCTTCGGAAGACAGAGTAGCAGAGCATGAGGCAGACATTCTCCCACTTTGTTGCGGAAGGTAAGGTTGCACTTCAGATATCGTATTTCCTGCCATGAACATGCTTTCCCCACTTAAGGTGATAAGCTTTGCAGTCCATGATGCTTACCAGAATCATCAAACCCCTGTGGACACCCTATGCTGTGCCAAACTTTACATCAAATTCGGTATAGCACTTACATTTGCAGTGTGATAACACACGGATATCCTGGTGGAATTTACTTAAAGTGTTCGTAGTGAGACTATATGTGGCTCTGAGTGATGTGAATTATGAAAGAGCAACTCTTAGCACACCTAGCTCATATTCAACGTTGTCTGAAGTAATTTGTTAACATGCTTCTTGCCTCACTTGCAGCTTATGCAAGTACTTCGCCATTGCTTTTGGAGGTGCTTCACTGTTCATACTCCATCTTAACGAAGGGTCCTCAGTGAAGGTAGGTTACGACTAATTGACGCATGTTACCTTCATGTCCTTACCCTTGTAGAAGCAAGTGACACAGATGTTTGAGCAATTTAAAGGTTTAGGCGAAGGTCAATAAATAACCTCTGAACTTTATCTCAATAATGCACAGGTGTGGGATCACGCGGCTGGCGTGATATGTGTAACTGAAGCGGGAGGCCAGGTACTAACTTTCAACCCTCCTTGACATTGATTATATATGGAAAATTAGGTGTTTCTACTTGATTTCAACACTACCGTTGGTTTTAATTAGTGCTAGTCTTTATCAATCAAAAAGTAAAGTGGAAAAAGAGAGCGCAATCCTTTTGAGCCAAAAGCTCAAAAGTTTCCCAGTTTAATACCATTGTATCCTCATTTTTAGCGATTGAACACATCTTGAACTGGCTGGGGACTTGACGTTCATAACGTCTTTATATTATGTGTCTGAAGTACTACTTTAACTCCTGACCAGCATAATTGCTAAAACTATAGGCCCCAAAATAAGTAACGTTCATGTGTTTGAAGTGAAAGCAGCGATCGGCTTTTTATTTAGCTGATTTTGGAACCGGATATATTGTTCTTTTTCTTTATATTGCAATGAGGATACCAAACTAACTGGTGGAGTTCAACGCATTCCAGGTTACCGACGTCATCGGGACACCACTACAAGAGATGATTGGAACCGGTCAAGTGCTGTTCAAGCCTGAAGGAGGAGTTATTGCCACCAATGGAAGCTTGCGGGACAAAGTCCTCCAGCGTTTCGGACCCATTAAAAGGAGATCCTGATGTGTGTTTTCTGATGGGCAGCGTACACGATGGAACAACTCAGTGAAAGTCAACTGCTTCAAGTGAAGAAGCTCCGAAGTGTGACCGATCAAGAAAGCCAGTTTAGACCATCTAGCGAAGAAATTCCAAGCGGCTATATTTGACTGGATTTGATGTTGTTCTTCCTGTTCTCTTACTTCCTACCGCTGACGGATCTCAAAGAGCAAATTTTCATCTCACGTTTGATCTATTCTGATGATGACTGTGTTAGTCACTGCATTTATGACGTTGATATCTCCTGATGACTTCCTAAAAAATTTCTTCGCTAAAAGATGAGAAATCCAGAGGTTGTGTAGTGGAAGATATTGTCGAATGAAATAGTATCAGCCGAGATGGTTCATGACGAACTTGGCTTATGTTAATGTATTGTCATTATCAAGAAATGATTTTCGTGCTACATGGTCTTAGTTTCCTTGGCTTATACGCGATATGTATCAGTTAGAAGTGGAGACTTACACATAGGACGCAAATGGAAATTTTTATCGAGAGAATAAGTTTGCCAACAACCGTACGCGTCGAGGTCACATAGTTACCGACATGTACTATAGTACATGATTTTCACTGGATATCGAGGAAGGGAGAGCCAAAATCATACAACAGATTTAAGTGTGTGCCCGACCTGACTGTAGATGCGAATACTGGATGCCCACATGACAACCACGAGTATAAAAAGCACCCCAGTCGGTGCACTGCTTAAGGTCGTGAGATGAGTAGAAGCCGAACTTTAAATATTTATGAGAGTGGACATGTTTGTTGTATCATCGAGGGAAGGCAATGGATGAGTAAATGTGTGCATGATTATGTCTCCAGGACCACTGATGATTCTCATGAACATAGCAAGCGATTATATGTAGAGATTATAGACGTGTCTGAAAATGTTATTTGAAAGTTTGATGAAATAGTGGTCATCACCGTACCATAAGCACTGTCACTCTCTGGTATATGTTTCTTAGAGAAATTTGCTTGATGGGACCCCATCAAAACCCTGACTGCTTGATGGGACCCAATAAGTTCCATTTTACCCGATGGACCCCTCCGACCGGTCACCGTCAGTTATGTTCTTGTAACTGATTTGTTTCCACTTCAATGAAAGAAAATAATTTCTTCCCGAATTTAAGTTAGTTAGATTTTCCATGTCTCCCAATCTTCATCGTGGAAGAGTCCAATTTCTCAGTTTTACAGTTATAATGTATAGGCATACTCTACTCACTCCTTACCTTTTTTTCTTTCTAAAATTCTTGGTAAAAATCATGTCAGTTGCGTATTTGGTCCGTGAAGTGCATTTTTTTTTTCAACAAAGAACCTCAGTGCTTTTCCTAACCCGGATTGAAAGGAATTACAAGAACTCGCAGTAGAACATTCGTGACGGCAGACTGAATTGCCGTCGGAATGGTCCCATCGGGTAAAATGGAACTTCAAGGGTCCCATCAAGCAGTAAATGTTTTGATGGGGTCCCATCAAGCAAATTTCTCATGTTTCTTATCCAAGTTGCATCACGGTACCACAATCACTGTTATTTTCTACAATACGTTGAATTTTCCATCTACAGTCTCCCGGTATAGGATTGGCTGAGTGGTTGGTCCAAATCTTCGAAATATAATCAAGCCAGGAAACCCATATTTCAAGGCCAATCCGTGATGAACTATCAGATGCGAATCTCTTCGAAACAAGGTTTTTTAAGTGAAAGCTTTCTATGGTCTATACCAGATGTTCTCATTCATGTCTGAGTAGGAGGGTTATCTAGCTCTTTCAAGAATCTACATGCTGCACCGTGGCGTCTCCAATTTTATCAACTGCTTTCATGGTTTCAACCGCAGGTAGCGGACAAGTCCACTATCTGCAGTTGAAAGCTCACAGGATTCCTTGTGTTTTGTCCTGTATTTTACTGGCAGCTCCATTCTCAAAAGACTTTCTGTGGGAGCTCAAGGTAGAAATTAATCGAGAAATGTTGATGGGAGTATCAACTTCCAGTGGTGATGAATTCTCACCACAGAAACAAACCGTTTAGCAGTTGTCCTTCTTAGAATCAATGGCACTCGACCCGTATTAGAATAAATGGCATTATTTTCCAGTCTGGAAGCTGTGCAGGTGAGCCTTCCATACAATGAAATGGACATCCACGCGAAAAGCTCGAATGGGAGTCAGATAACAAGTCGGGACTGCCGAGATCCAATTGAGAAGACTGCTACACCACATTTTGGATCATCGAAATTTCCCCGAACTCACTTGGATGCTGCTGTGTGGAACATAATGCAAGGAAGGCGTAGTAGCTTTTCTAAGCCGTTGTAGAACTTTAAGAGGGCAACATCATTACCCTTCAGAGTAGTTAAAATGGCCAATGGAAAAAATCAATGTTAATCCTCTGCAACTGGGCAGGGGGAAGCAAAACCAAAAATCTCTTTAGCCACAGTGGACCTCGATCTGTGTCCAGGGTGATCCGTGCATGAGGAGAAGCTAAAGCGACTGGACAAGAAAACGAAATGGGGAACAATCCTGCAACTTGCGCAGTAGCTGGCAAGGAGGACGAAACTCCCGTGCATCATCTGATAAAACGCAGTTCGTTTCATAAACTGAAAGCGCAACGAATTCGTGACATCGCTCTGCTGCTGCTGGAGGTCATGCTCCACGCGGAGTCTACTATCCTTAATCCAAAGCCCAAATCAGCAGCACTGTTGAGTCAAGGGTACAGGGTCTGTGTGGACAGGGCTGTGTGTGATGAAGTAGCTAATCTCATTTCTCGAAGAATTTCTCTCTTCAAGGGAAATTCTTCGAGAAATTTTCCCTCAAAGCGGGAAACCGTCAACTACTCTTCCTCGTTTTCCTTCTAATTCTTGACTTTCTTCTCTAGTACTTGATGATGTCATCTAGCACCGCTGAGTCAGGGGGCGGGGTCTGTTGAACTTACATTGGTGAAGAGCATCCAGTTCAGTTTTGGACCAGTTAGTCTTTCACCAGAGTAGCTCACATACCATAAGCAGGATCAATGGGCCTAAACCTTGACTCAGGAAATGGAACAAGTTGCATAATATGAACTTGCAACTAACTACTAGCAGCAGGCTGAGTTGCAAACTCTGCAAGTTGTTCGCAGGAAATGAAAGTCTGCGATACTCGCTTCTCTGTAGCTATCTTGCGTCTGTTCTCTGCTGGATATTCTTCCTGCATCATTTACAGCGGTCAGCACAGTGAGTGGAGAGACTTCTTCAAGGCTAAAAATAATGAGCGTGTTTGCCTTCTCCTGGTGTTCCTATATGGGCACCAGGTGTCCATGCCTCTTTACCTCTTGATTGAAATTCACACACCATCAGCTGATTTGTGAAGGGGGAGCTCCCTTTTACTGAGGGCTGACTTGTTTGAGGTGTAACAGCTGAGTCACAGCAAGTTCAGCTGCCAATTGTTCAACTGATGGTTGTTCGGTCTCCTTGAGGCCTGTTTCACAGCGCATGATGCAGACATCGTACAAATTCGTTGTGGAAGTTGAGGTTGGAGTTACGTTTTCGTCATAAAACCGTAAGATGCTGTCTACTGGAACACTCAGAAGAGCGGATTTTGAGCTGCCTAGCGGTCTATGAAGCTGACCACTACTCCCCTGGTCGCCTTTGCAATTCAACAAAAATTTCTTGCCGAGTTTGCATCCAGGTCCCCCAATGAACAATACATATATTCATCAACTCTAGGAGATAATCCATTTAACTCTAATTGCTGCAGCAGTATCATGGATTCGAATAACAATCTGCCATATAAAGGTGCAGAAAATCTGATGGTCTGGTGTACACAAATTCTTAATTCTGGCCATTGGGAAGTGCTTTACAGTATAAACTCTATATTCAAGAAAGATGCTAAATTCGGATAGACCCTAGATTGTTGCTACAAGTCGCCTTCACGTTCTGAACGGCAGTTCATGCGAATAAGTGAGAAAAATATATCCAGAGAGCGTATTGTGGAACATTTTGGTCCTATCAATGATGTGCACGAATTTTCCTCTGTAGCTGGCATATTATGAGGGGCAGTAGTTGAAATTCAGGTGAAAAAGAATTTCCATTCCACTTCCCATGCTTTGTTACATCTCTGCACACTCGCTAGTCTGCTGAGACGAGCATACACAAAAAGTTATGACCTGCAGCACGTTTGCGAAGATACTGGAAGCTTCAGCATCGTAATGTCAGAGTGAACCAAATAATTCTTAACAGCGTAGAGTACTCGATCCATATGTAGCAGGTCCAACCATTCCAAGATATCTTCACCTTCAGTAAGTCTCCTCGTTCACGTCCTCCTGCAGTTTATTGAGTAGAAGTGATAAGGTGTTGAAAGCTTCGTAGGAAGTCCCTTGTGTTTTCGTGATCTATCTGACACGTCTCCTACACTGTCGTATCTTCATGTCCTGACCAACCTCCACCCTCGTTAAAGATCACTTTATTGCATGTCATATGGTTATTTCAAGTCCTGTATGATCCAAATGCTTGTGATAAGATTTGACTAATTACATTACTATACGAAACTTGATTTTAACTAACACTTGATCGTTAACTCGTGCCTGGTGACCTGTTTCAATGGTATCCCGTCTAGAGATGATTGAGACGGTCAAATTCCTTTCGGACCTGTCTGACGGAAGACGAAGGATCACCTCCAATAGCAGCTTGCGGAACGAGTCGTTCAGTTACTTCAACCCATAGAAACGACACCCCTGACTGCATGTCTGGGTTCACTTACAGCCAAGAACTCAACCTGGAACATATACCGTTTCTGAGAAGAAAATTCACGCTGTTGAAAAGGACTGGATGTGTTAATATCCTGACGCTTCTTTCTTCGTCTCACCGCAGACTCCAGGACCACATGCTCTCTCCGTATGAGTCAGTGCTGAGCTCGAGTAGATTTCAAGCAAACAGGACAAAACCAAACATGATTGCTAGCGAGTCAATCTACAAAAAATCGCAGAATCATTTGCTGAATTCATCAGTAGATTCTCCTTATTTACAGTGCAGATGATGATGAGCTCATACACTTAGTCTGTTATGCTTTAAACAGTTAATCCTTCGTGGTAGAGGATGTTTTTCTTGTGGGATCCACGATCCACTTGAAGAGAGCAGACTGCGTTTGATCCCGTAGTACAGTTGCTGGCCAGTGGGCAGTGCCCGGGGACAGGCGTGCGTGACGAAACGCAAGTCTACTTTCCAACACCTCAATGAAGTTTGTGCAGGGAGCCGGCACTCATCGAAAAAACAATCACTGGACCTCGTCATCACTGGCCCAGGAACAATTCAATTATCCGATGAAGGATAGCTGTAACTTCTGAATCGTGCCTCGATATATTATTCCCAAAATATTACATTACTGGTGGAAACATGAAACCTGACACATAAATTCAGTGAGAAAATTCTGCTTATTACAGCAAACCTTCA